CAGGCGCTGCTCGAAGGCGCCGTCGCTCTCGGCGGGGCCGCGCCGGGTCCTCCCGGCCGGCAGGTGGCGCTCTGCGGCCGCGCGCAGCTCCGCCCGGTCATAGAGCGGCGCCGGGTCCAGCCCGTGCCGGTTCACCAGCCCCACCAGGTACTCGCTGTAGTGCCCCCTGGCGGCCGGGAGGACCCGCCGCTTACACAGGGACCCCCAGAGACCCCAAAAGGCCCCCAACCCCAACCCCAGAGCCACGTCCCGCTCACGGGACTTCCCCCTTTGTGTCCAACTTTCCCCCCCAAAGTTCCCCATTTCTGCTGTTTCCCCAAAAATCTCCCACAAACTTCCACATTTTTGCCCCAAATTTCCCCATTTTCTGCAAGATTTTCCCCCCAAAGTTCCCCATTTCTGCTCAGTTTTCCCCCAAATTTCCCCTCAAACACCCCCATTTCTGCCCAGTTTTCCCCAAAAATTTCCCCCAAACTTCCACATTTTTGCCCTAAATTTCCCCATTTTCTGCAAGATTTCTCCCCCAAACTTGCCCATTTTTGCCCAATTTTCCCAAGTTTCCCCCCAAACTTGCCCATTTCTGCCCAATTTTCCCCAAAATCTCCCACAAACTTCCCAATTTTTGCCCCAAATTTCCCCATTTTTTTGCAAAAATTTCCCCCCAAAGTTCCCCATTTCTGCTCAGTTTTCCCCCAAATTTCCCCTCAAACACCCCCATTTCTGCCCAGTTTTCCCCAAAAACTTCCCACAAACTTCCCAATTTTTGCCCCAAATTCCCCCATTTTTTGCAAGAATTTCCCCCCCAAACTTGCCCATTTCTCCTCAGTTTTCCCCAAAATCTCCCACAAACCTCCCAATTTTTGCCCCAAATTTCCACAATCTTTGCAAGATTTTCCACACAAACTTCCCCCATTTCTGCCCAATTTTCCCCCAAATTTCCAATTTTTGCCCCAAATTTCCCCATTTTTTGCAAGAATTTTCCCCCAAACATCCCCATTTCTGCCCAATTTTCCCCAAAATTTCCCACAAACTTCTCAATTTTTGCCCCAAATTCCCCCATTTTCACCTAAATTTCCCCAAATCTCCCCATTTTACCCCAAATTTTCCCCTTTCTGCCCCAGATTTCCCTATTTTTGCCCTATTTCCTCTCAAACTTCCCTGTTCTTGCCCCAAATTTGATTTCTGCCCACTTGTCCCCAAATTTCCCCAAACGTCCCCATTTTCACCTAATTCCCCCCAAATTTCCAACAACCTTCCCCATTTTCACCCCAAATTTCCTAATTCCTGCCCAATTTTCCCCAAATAACCCCCAAACTTCTCCATTTTTGCCTCAATTTCACCCAAACTTCCCCATTTTTCCCCAAATTTCCTCATTTGCCCCAGATTTTCTCATTTTCCCCCCCAAACGTTCCCCTTTTTGCCCAAATTTCCCCATTTCCCCCCCAAACTTCCCTAAATTTCCCCAAAACTTCCCCATTTTTGCCACCATTTCCCCATTTTTGCCCCGAATTCCCCAACATTTACCCAATTTCCCACAAATTCCCCCCTTTTCGCCCAATTTCCCCCCAAAAAAGTTGCCCGAACTTCCCCATTTTTGCCCAGATTTACCCGGTTTTGCCCCAAAAGGGGGATCAGGGGAACTGAGGGACCCCACAGGGACCCCCAAATCCCCTCCCAGTGCCCCCCAA